CTGCCTCTCAGGCTGGTGGGTCCCCGCAAGGCGGGTGGCGGCGGCGGCGTTTGGGGTGCTCTGGGGGCTGCTCAGGGAATAGTGCTTTGTTCGGGCTGAAACGTTAACGAATATCCTGCGCTTGCCCTTACTGTAAGTGGGTTTGTTACTGAGCTTAGCTTGGTTAGAGGAATCAGGGTTTTTTTTTTTTTTTCAGGTTTTCGTTGGTTTGTTTGATACACGCAACCTCTGCTCTGTCCTCAGAGGCCGGTTGCGGTCCTCAGAGTCAGAATGCCTAAAGCAGATGCTGTTCAGTTGTAAAAGTCTCTGAACAGCAAAATTGTGTAAGATTGTCATCCTGAAAGGGAGACAGATTATGGTTTGTGAAATGTCTAGTGAGGATAAAGCTACAAAATGCCCCAGTAACTCTGCTTCTGCATTTAAAAGGCCTTTGCTTTCAATGAAAAGAAACGTTTCACAACCCAAATGATCATTTTTAGTCTGCAATTTCCTACAAAAACTTTCACTTTGTTACGCTGTTCATTGGTAATTTTGTTGAAGTAACTGAAAATAGAGATACTTAAAAAGCTGTTAGCTGCACACTTCCTCGGCTCTAAAATCAATACGTGTAGACCTTTACTCATTGTATGTTCACTTCTCTAGGTTGGGTGATAATGAAGAAAAATCCCTACTGAATCATTTTCTTTTCCTTTCACATCCTTCAGAAATGGTATGGTACCTCTCCAGAGAGCTAAACCCCCTTCTTACAGTCATCTCTGAAGAAGTTTCTAAACTGACACTACCCTTTCCTTAAAAAAGAGTGCAAATAGAAAATCTAGTTAGATTTTCCTAGTTCAGAACAGTTTAATAAGGTGGGGTGCTGCTTCTCTGGGTATTTTCCTGTTCAGGAAGGGGCTTGCAGAGTCAGTCAGCGAGATGGAAAAAGTGAGGGGTTTTTTCAAATCTGTGTGGTAGCTGCATGTTTGGCCCAGAGCACTGAAAGTTGTTATAATCCTCCTGTGCTTCTCAAGGTGATGGTTCTAATAGGGCACTCTGACAGCATCATTTGACTAGGTTATGCAGCTTGATAACTTCCAGTTGCCTTTAACTCAATTTTCTACCTTTTGCCTTTTAGCAGGTTGTAAACAAAATGCATTGTGGAGAAACAGGCTCATTTGCCTTATGGGTATCGATCAGCAGTTTGGGGAAGGAAATTATCAGATTTCTCTAGACAATTATAGGAAAACAGTGAATTGAAAGAGATTAATACTCAGTTTGATACTTTTATATATTTTTTTAAGAACCTATTTGAAATACTAGTAAGATTTGTAGGAATTCCCCTTGAATATTTATCACTTTTGGCTTGTGGTAAAATGAGTGTTATGTGAATTACCTATATGGCCATGTAATTTCCATTAGCAGTAATAGTAATTGTAAGCATATAGAAAGAGGATGACTTATCCTGTGATCCTACCTATTATGAAGTAGTTAACTGATTAAGGTTAGGGTACTGCAAGCCATTTCATGCCATCAGTGAACTCTCTGCAACCCCATTATCTTCATTAGGCTTGTGTGAGTGTAATTAATTGGAATCTAGTTAACAGTTATGTTGAATGAAAAGAGTTTAGTTCTATTTCTCTTAGTTTTATTGGCCCCATAATGCTAACAGGCTAAAGTGTAATTAAAAACTCACTAATCAAAACATATGTAGCAAGTCCCAAGGAACCAGTGAGGAAAAAGCACATGAATGGTGTGAATCTGTCCTTTGAGAAATGAACAGGTACAAACAATGCCTTATGGTAGTTTTTTGCTTTTAAGCAGTGGAGATGGCTCAGAGTTATATAAACTTAACGTGTAAATTTAGTAGGTACGGAAGCACAAATACTCTAAGCTTGCCATCAGCACTTACTTGTGCAGTAACACCGTATTTTGATATCTTTCCAGCAGATTATCCACAGAAGTATTTCAAATCATATAGTACTTTGGGTGGATAGAGAAATCATTTTTGTATTTCTTTCTAGAGCAGCTATACATAAATTTTTATTACCTTTTGTCTTCGCTATAAATCTTGTCAGGAAAAACAATATTGTAAAGGAGGAATAGCTGATTCCTCCTGCCCCCTCCACCCCCCGCCCAGATTCTATCTCACTTCAGTATCTATATGCGATGCTAATCATCATGATATATTGGTGCACTCTGAAACCAGATGTAATGTGGCATGCTTAAGCATTGCATAAAGAGTTTGCTTTTTGCTATTCTAAAATGTTGCTGTAAACTTGCCCCTTAATTCAATTAAGATCTTGGTCTCACTGCCATCTGTGTTCTTGTAGGATTTCACAGATGAATATTGTGTGCTTATTCTACTAACAGGGTCTTCTTTGAAATCAAGTATGAGAACATAGAAACTGCATAACATTTCCAATGAAATCAGGATTACCTCTTTAGTCTGGTAGTGCCAATACTCATATGCAAGAACATTACCACTTTTGAGGCATTCTAGCCTCTTGAATAAGAAAGGCTTTTAAGATTTTTCTTTGTACACCTAATAATATTTTTCTAGTGTTTCTTTTAATTCTTAATAGCCTGTATTCTGGGAAGGACAAACTTCAGTAATAAAGTTAAATTTGGTT